GTACGTGTAAACCATGCATCTCTGTAGATGTGAACCATTATAGCATAACGATCTAAAGTACATGCTGTGTGTGGTGTGTTAACTATTACAGCATATGGATCATGTGTGTGCATAAAACTGCCTGCCCAACAGTGGTCTCCTGGGGTGTGTTTGTAGTGTCACCATTATAGGCTTGTCTTAATCACTGCAACAAGTTAAGTTCAGCTGGGGTTTCAAAACAGCCGTTTTTCCCAAACACACACACGGAATACAGCCAAGACATTGATGGCCCAATCAATGCCAGCACACAGCACAAAGCATGTCTTCGTAGCCCGCTCTGACCAAGTGTGTGTAAGGGGGCTTCTAGGGTCATACATATAGTTCCTGCTGAGCACCAAAACACACCCAAGAAGCCCCCTCCCCGTCCAGCTGCACATACCTGCTCTCAGTAGGTCAACACTGTGGAATCCACAGCTGCATGTCAACAATCTAAAATGCCCTCCTCTGCTTCATGTCAGTAGTCTACATTAGCCTCTCCAGGCAGAAGCTGCATCTCAATAGTCTAAGTGAAAGAAGAACTGGACAGGTGAAAGACATTTCCCAGTACCCCTTATTGCTTTCACTAGTCTTGTGTTTTCAGATCCCTGTTGACAGAGGAAATAAGGAAAGAATGCCACTTTAGATTGAGATGCAGCCTCTGCCTGGGTTCTCCAGTGTCCTACACAACACAGAGATTGCCCAGGGTTTAATAGAAACACTGTCGCCACTCAATCCCCCTAAAGCGCATGAAATGACTAACTAGGTCTACAAGATAGGTCACTCAGAGAAGGGAGTTCAATGAGAGTTAAATTGTTGTGTTTATTTTATGGAGACCGTCAATTGAAAAACCATAACACCAGTTCAACAATTCAAGTAGGTTTATTTTTCTCTAGGAAAGATTATAGATCAATCCGTACCTAAAGTGTATTAACACTAGTTTAAGCACACACATACACATATGATTTTTTCCTAACAACATGCCCTGTCCAGGACATTTAACAGGTTATGTGGTAAGTAGAAACTCCTGGCCCTACACACACACCACATTTAGCTGAAACCATGTTTATATAAATGAAAGCGAACCAGAGGGCAGAGTATAAAAAGGGCAGTGTGTTTATTGGTTGTCTGGCTGAGACTCAGGTCACATCACTCAATTCAGAGGTCATAGTGCAAACCCAGGTCACGTGACATGGGTGGGTCCTCACTAGGGGTCGGAGTACAGGCGGTAGAGGGATAGCACATGGACACACCCCACAGGTCATGGGACATGGACAGAGCTAAGTGACGTCTTCAACACATCATAAACATCACTCTCAAACTGAGCCATATAGAGTAGGTAGATGTCTCCTCTAGAAACTGATCTAAGGTCAGTTTTACATTTTCCCTAATGGATAAAGTTTGGATTTAAAGGGGATTAAGTTTACCGTTGAGCTGTGGGCATTCTTCTCCATCCCTACAGCACACATATAACACCACGACACCCCCCTCTCATGTAAACCACCCAGTCACCTCAGCTGAACTGTTAAATGATTTCTCAGGAAAATACAAATTAACGCTGCAGACAAATCCAAAAAGCATCTTCACTCAAGACAGTAAATATACACAGCTGGTTGTGTATTTGTACATGGACAAGGAAACGGTGTAAACTCTGGTTACAATGTGGAAACCTCAAAAACAAACAAACCTTTTTGACATTTATTTTTCTCAGAAACAAAAAGCCAACCATACCAGATTGTAAAAACTCAAGGACACTCCTAACCCTTCCCTATAATAGTCATGTGACACTAGTATAGGCATCCACATCACTCACTTCAGCCCTGTTTGACACTACATTCCTGTCTGCAATTTAATCTCTCGCTCTCTTCAGCATTGAAGCCCTCTATGTCCAAGGGAGAGAGATGTGAAGGAGAGGTCTGTGAGAGGAAACGAGATGGGAGAGGAAAAAAGGAGAACAGAGAGAAACAGACTACTTTCTCCTCTGCTGGTCTTCTGTGGGCTGCTTCAGTCCGACTGCTTCTCTGTACAGCTCCTGTTGCATCAGAGTTCCATTCACCCTTCTATTTCTACTATATCCTTCCCTGTTCAAACACTCCACACAGAATATGCTATACCACATTCTATACAGCTTTACCCACTGCTCAACAGTGAGGAAATGGCAGCCATGAGGTTCTACCCGTCTAATGCTTACTAGCAGGTTAGAAAATAGGTTTTTACACACTCATACTGTAGTACTACCTTCCTCTCTTGTCCCTTTGTACCACTGTAATGCTACCCCTCTCATTCCTTCCTTTCTTTCTTTCTCTGGCTTCCTCATCCAATAGTCTGTGTATGACAGAGCCCTGCTGGAGTCTAGCTATTAATGGAGCTATAGCTGATGCTGTAGCTGTGTGTGGGATAACTGCTGGGCGCTGAGGAGTAGAGCACATCGGAAATGAGCCTGAAATGGAATACGTAGAAGTTGCCCTTAACCACAGATCTAGGATCAGATTACACCAACCCCAATCTTAACCATTAGGGGGTGAATACATATCTGACACTGTATCAATGGTAGGGATAAGTTCTACCTTCTCCCATTAGCTTAGCCTCTACAGGACATACGACAACTGTTGCCGCACTGGCCCATGGGAGTTGGAGTCTCTTGCTGCTAGAGTACATAGTGTCAGTTTGAGGTGTGAGGAAAGTGATGCTAACTTGCTGGACCTCTGTGTGTAGACAATAGACATGCTAACTTCACAGACAAACAGATATGAACAGATGGGAGAAGTAAACCATTGTTACAAGTCAGGACCTAACCTGACTGTCAGGTTGCGACGTAAACAGTCAGGAGAGAATGCAAGATAAACCACTAGTAAATAAAGTCCTTTCTGAGAGTAGTATGAGAATGTGACTACACCATCCTTTCTCCTTTCCCAAGAACGTATTCATTTCATTTGTTCTAATTGTAACACTTGCTCCCAAATCTGAATAAAAATGTGTGTTTGGTACATTGGCACACCCCTGTGGGACACACTCAGGATCGAGTCCCAAACCATACACACTCTGGCCAGGGTCCACTTCAATCGTTAGCCCCTCCCTCTAGCTCGTACTCCTTAACTGTTCACAGATCTGAAAGGACTGGATAGGTGTAAGCAATATGGTGGAAGTTTCTCTCAGTCAATTGGAGGGTTAGGTGGAGTCATCAACAACTTGCTTACACCTTTCCATAGCTTTAATTGAAGATGCCCTGAGTAGGGACCAGGGGAAGGGTCTAGAGCAGGGGTCTCCAACCCTGTTCCTGGAGAGCTACCTTCCTGTAGGTTTTCACTCCAATCCCAGTTGTAACTAACCTGCTTCTCAACCAGCTAATTATTAGAATCAGGTGTGCTAGATTAGGGGTGGAGTGAAAACCTACAGGATGGTAGCTTTCCAGGAACAGGATTGGAGAGCCCTGGTCTAGAGTCTGACATGGAACTAGGCAATAGAGTGTAGTAGATCTGTACCGTACCCCTATGTGACAAACTCATAGGTGAGAAAACAAACGACAAAAATAAATAAAAAAAACAAGATACAAAATGTTCAAAAAAAAGGAAGAAGCCAAAAATGAAAGGTAAAAAAGAAATGTAACAGACAATTAAAATAAGCTAGACATGTGCAAGTCATCTACAGGGTAATACTGCTGATACGTCCCCAACAAAATAACACCAAGGAAACACTAAACAACAAAATAATCATTCAAATGGATTCTGAATGGCTCCCGATAGCTTTGTGTGTGTGTCTGCAGCAGTGTGTGTGTGTGTGTGTGTGTGTGTGTGTGTGTGTGTGTGTGTGTGCCAGTCTGTGTGTATAATACATACACTCAGATTTGTAAAGCAGGTCAGGTCAGAACCTGAAGCTCCCTCTTATGTTCAAGCAATAACAAAAAAGAAATCGAGATAAAATGATTTTTCTGGAGTTAACACTCCATCTTTCACACTGCTCCATCGTTCACTTTTTCACAGCTTTCAAGTCTTTAGTGTCAACGTGTGTGTACATGTGTGTTCTGGTGAATCTCGAGCTTTAACATGTGGACAGAGCACAGACAACTGTCCAGAGAGAACAACATATAAAGCCTGTTTATATGAGAGATATAACTGGGTCCATAAAGGTGGAATAGAGGAAAGCTTCGAGTCTTGTTTTATCATTCCCGTGATGTGACCGAGCATATATAGTGCCCACCACACACGGTGAGGAGAGGCTCTGGAATATAAAACAGTAGGAGACATTCAGGACATGGGAGTGGTTTCTGCTGGAATAGATTTGAGAATCAGAGCCCTTAATGTTTACAATGCTGCAATCACACAGGCCAATCACACATTCACTCCCCCCGTCTGAGTGTGTGTGTGGAAAAAGTGTCCGTTTAGTGAGCCCAACTCAAGTCAAGTATGAAGAGACCATCGGAGTTGTGTGTGTGAGTTTGTGAACCAAAGAGTGATAAAGAAAAGTGTGTTTGAAATCCTGTTCCATTGGGTTAGTCCAGTATTGTGTGTGTGTGTGTGTGTGTGTGTGAGAGAGAGAGAGTCCAGCCCTAGAAAGGGCAGTCTGTCTTCCACCAGAGCACAGTATGTCAAGAAGAGAGGGAGTGAGAGAAAACAAGGATAAAGGATAAATCATGTCCATCCATCCTTAAGAAGCATCCAAGAAAGAGGAGAGGAGACATCCCATAGTTCCACAGGATTGATAGTCCACAGGCAAAAACAACGGAGCGAGAGAACGAGAGAGAAGAAGTGGTGTAGGTCTTCATTCAGTAGTCTATGCAGCCATATTAACCACTGCTTCAACACACACACACACGGCTCCTTAGGTTAAGGCAGTGGTGGCAGGTGGGGTTGCAGTGGGGCTGGGGTCAGGGGTTATAGTTTAGGGGTCATGGCAGTGAAAGCTCCTGCTGCTGAGTCACTAACTCTCCTCCGCTCTTCCCCTATTCCTCTCTTTTATCTCTATCGTTCCGTCCTCTCCAGCAGCCCTCATTCAAAGGACATCAGATTGGCTGGGACCTGGAGAGAGAGAGAAAAAGGCATGAGGGCTGGTTGGTGTGAGTGTGTGTGTGTGAGTGTGAGTGTGTGTGAGTGAGTGTTACCTGTTGTCTGTTGCTCTGGCAGGCAGCACTGAGGTGTTTGAACCACAGCAGGGCGTTCATTTTGTTCCCTGCCTGGTATTTATATGTGTTACCTAGGAATCACAGAGACACACCATCACAAGATGTCCCTGTAGCAGAAAACTGAGATTCAGCCCAGTGACTATCAGCCCAATCTAAGTCCAGTCGTGTACAGTTACAGTACTCGACTCTCCCATCCCCATCTGTGTACAGCAGGAAGCTGCCTCAATGTAGAACATATGAGAACAGAGACTGCGTGCATGTGTGTGTGTGAGTAGAGAGCGATAAATACAGAGACAGTCAGATATGACAGGCAAGCAGTCCACATAACAGACAGTGTTACTGCTGGGTCAGACAGACAGGAACCTGTGTGTGTGTGTGTGCTGGTCTTAGCGGTAGCGCAATTGGTTATGGCATTGATTTGCCAGAGGCGGCGCACACAGAGATGCACACAGGAGCCTTATCAGCATTGTTATATACACATTTTACAAGCAGCAAAACAGTCAGACATTCCCCTTTGGACTCATTATGTGCAGTGCCCATTGCATGAAAGGTGTCAGTGACCGTAGGAAGCCTGTTTAGGAACATAGTTATTTAAAAATACCAAATTTTTTTTGTTGATAATTTTGTCAAAAAAATGAATCTTCCACTTTTCTCCGTTAGCCCTAACTGTCAAATCACGGGAATTCCGATCGCTGTCCGTGGTGCTGAATCCGCTTGTAGGCCAAATCAACGGCGATGGTAGGCTATAGCTATATACTGTATATATTTGGGAGCAGTAACGGTGAGTGGACATCCCACCTTTCTCTTTATATTGAATCTTTTTCCCAGCTCCTGTGAAAAGTTTGGATGCGAGTAAAACCACCCATAGTCTACGTTGTCTTAGGCCTAATATTATAAGCCCACGGGGAGCAATTATGGTGTCTGTAACTGTATTTAGACATAGCCTATTTAGAACAAGTTGTGGTTTTATTTTATTAGAATTATTCACTGTCTTTTTAGGTCTTATCAATAGTGAATATAATCTTGCTTATTAACAACGTTTGATACTAGGGTTGAATAACGGGAAACAGGTTACCAAGATTTAGTGAGATTTCCCACCAAACCCACTCCCTTTCCCTGGGATAAATAACTGCGAGAAACAGGTAAATAATAATAAATAATACATTACTTATATGAACAGCATGAAGTGAAATGGAACTGTTAAATTATATGCAATGTCTAAATCTGGCTTCTCTATGGCCTTCTCTCTGCATGATCAATCATCAACGCTCAGGGTGGGGACAGACCATGCATAACTCAGTAGGAACGCAGTTCACAATACATGCATCATCTCATCATGGTAACGTTTTTTTCTTGTGACTTGTAGGCCTACATTTGCTGCAGCATAGCCTATGGTACAGTAATATAAGGACTGAATGCACGTCTAATTTACACATCTCCATCTGGCTTTTGGGGGTCCGGGTCACCTTATTTTCTTATTGCAGCTGCAGAGTTTTATCACTTGAATATCATTGCTTTAAATCAGTGCATACGCAAGCACTCTATCGCAGTCTTCCTCTGTCTCCATCAATTCCATTCAAATTGCATCCAAAATAGTTAATCCTGTTCAAGATCGAGATAGATATATACAGTCAATTTGGAAAGTTTTCAAACCCCTTCACTTTTTCCACATTTTGTTACGTTACAGCCTTATTCTAAAATAGATTAAATCGTTTTTTTTTTTTACCCCTCATCAATCTACACACAATACCCCATAATGACAAAGCAAAAACAGGACTTTAGAAATGTTTGCAAATTTATAGAAAATAAAAAACTGAAATATTACATTTACATAAGTATTCAGACCCTTTACTCAGCACTTTGTTGAAGCACCTTTGGCAGTGATTACAGCCTCGAGTCTCCTTGGGTATAACGCTACAAGCTTGGCACACCTGTATTTGGGGAGTTTCTCCAATTCTTCTCTGCAGATCCTCTCAAGCTCGATCAGGTTGGATGGGGAGCGTTGCTGCACAGCTATTTTCAAAGTCTGAGGTGCTGCCACCACCATCCTTCACCATAGGGATGGTATTGGCCAGGTGATGAGCGGTGCCTGGTTTCCTCCAGACGTGACGCTTGGCATTCAGGCCATAGAGTTCAATCTGGGTTTCATCAGACCAGAGAATCTTGTTTCTCATGGTCCGAGAGTCATTTAGGTGCCTTTTGGCAAACTCCAAGCGGGCCGTCATGTGCCTTTTACTGAGGAGTGGCTTCCGTCTGGCCACTCTACCATAAAGGCCTGAATGGTGGAGTGCTGCAGAGACAGTTGTCCTTCTGGAAGCTTCTCCCATCTCCACAGAGGAACTCTGGAGCAATGGAGTGACCATTGGGTTCTTGGTCCTGACCAAGGCCCTTCTCCCCCGATTGCTCAGTTTGGCCGGGCGGCCAGCTCTAGGAAGAGTCTTGGTGGTTCCAAACTTCTTCCATTTAAGAATGATGGAGGCCACTGTGTTCTTGGGGACCTTCAATGCTGCAGACATTTTTTGGTACCCTTTCCCAGATCTGTGCCCGACACAATCCTGTCTCGGAGCTCTACGGACAATTCCTTCGACCTCATGGATTGGTTTTTGCTCTGACATGCACTGTCAACTGTGGGACCTTATATAGACAGGTGTGTGCCTTTCCAAATCATGTCCAATCACTTGAATTTACCACAGGTGGACTCCAATCAAGTTGTAGAAACATCTCAAGGATGATCAACGGAAACAGGATGCACCTGAGCTCAATTTCGAGTCTCATAGCAAAGGGTCTGAAATCTTATGTAAATAAGGATTACAAAATATATATAAATTAGCAAAAATAAAAAAAAAAACTGTTTTCACTTTGTCATTATGGGGTATTGGGTGTAGATTGATGAGGATTTGTATTTATTTAATCAATTTTAGAATAAGGCTGTAAGGTAACAAGATGTGAAAAAAGTCAAGGGGTCCGAATACTTTCCGAATGCACTGTACATATATACATTATATACACAGTGTATATTTATACATACACGTTGCTGACAGGTGTATAAAATCGAGCACACAGCCATGCAATCTCCATAGACAAACATTGGCAGTAGAATGGCCCGTACTGAAGAGCTCAGTGACTTTCAACGTGGCACTGTTGAAAGAGGGGGTGGGCTAATACGCACGTCGCACAACATTAAGATAAATATTATGAAAGGTAGCCTACATATGCATCAGCCTACGATTTATAACAATTATATTTCAAAATTAAATCACATTTGCTAGCCTATATTTGTAATTTGTAGGCTGCATGTCCTACACCAGCATCGCATGTTCTCTCCCAGCTCCATGGTTTGAACGAGGTGAGTAATTCCAGTCATATAATACAGTAGAGTAATACAGTCCACACTCAAAAATATTAGCCTACTGGAGCTTGTTTAATTTATTTACCCAAGAGAGCAGAGCTACATCTATGGGCTTTTATGTTTTTCTATCATGCGTAATGTGCGGTAGTCTATTTATTATTGCCTATATGTTATAGGCTATGTATTGGATAACGGCACAAACATTTAGGCTTTTTGGGGATTGGGATCATAAAATGTCTTTAATGTAGGGCTCATAAAATGTATTGAATGTATGGTTCATCAGGCTCAGGTAGCATCAGGCTTGAATTTTCATGCCGATCAAAGCTCTAATCAAATCGAGACATATTTATATGGTTTATATGCTTTAGAATGACACTTCCAGTTTTGGCCGGAAATACTGGGTTACTTGGGAGAAAAGTAATTCTCGGGATGGAACATTTGTAAAATACCGGGAAAATATTCATCCCTACAACGTTTCCATGCCCCCAAGAATTCAGGCTGTTATGGAGGCAAAGGGGGGTCCGACCCAGTACTAGATAAACTGGCCACTGAGTGTATTTGGCCATGGAGCATGTTCTGATTGGCCAGTGAGGGGTCACGCCTCCACACCAACTTGTTTATTCATCAAAACCCAGCCCATAATTCTGGTTGTGAAAATAGCAAAAATATTTAGGACACCCCCTGAACCTATAGTGTTACCACCAGCGCTTAGATTTACCATTGTGTTTGTTAAAATAAAGGCCTATGTGTGTGTGATTGCATATGCGTACAATATGGGTGTATACTGCACGTTTTAATCTAGGAACATACAGACCATCTGAGGAGTTGAGATGAGTGTAGTTTGGCTGAACACTCCTGGCTGTCGGTGATTGATTGACAGGTAGTCTCACCGTGTTCGGAGTCTGTGAGCAGGAAGACGTCGGGATGTTCAGGGTCGTCTGACATGATGGCCATTAACCCCACAACACACACACTCTTACTGCTAGACGACTTGAACTGAAGGAAGATGGAGAGAAAGCGAGAGAGAGGGGTGGGGGGGGGCCACATTTAGAAATTATTTTGGATTAATATCGTCATATACAAGTATACCTTCTGAAATCTAAGACAGCTACCAACTGTAGCTCAGTTGGTACAGCATGGCTCTTGCAACGTCAGAATAATTGGTTCTATTCCTGGGACCACTCATACGTAAAGAATGCATGCATGCATGACAAAGTTGCTTTGGATAAAAGCATCTGCTAAATGGCATACACTCCCCTCCGTATTTGGAAAGTGAAGGCAAAATGTTATTTGAGATCAAATGTCACCTTTTATTTGACGGTATTTTCATACATATGTTTTAACGTTTAGAACTGAAAGCACTTTATACATCTAGTCCCCCCCATTTGAAGAAGTCATAAGTATTTGTACAAATTAACTTATAGTGTATTAAAGTATTCAAAAGTTTAGTATTTGTACCCATATTCCTAGTACGCAAACACTACATCAAGCTTGTAACTCTCCAAACTTGTGTTTCGGATTATGTTTTGCCTAATAGAAACTGAATCTTGAATAATGTATTGTGTCATTTTTATGTCACTTTTATTGTAAATAAAAATAGAATATGTTTCTGAACACTTCTACATTAACGTGGATGCTAACATGATTAAGGATAATCATGAACGTATCATGAATAAGGATGATCTACACTACCGGTCAAAAGTTTTAGAACACCTACACATTCAAGGGTTTTTCTTTATTTTGACTATTTTCTACATTGTAGAATAATAGTGAAGACATCAAAACTATGAAATAACACATATGGAATCATGTAGTAACCAAAAAAAGTGTTAAACAAATCAAAATATATTTTATATTTGAGATTCTTCAAATAGCCACCCTTTGCTTTGATGACAGCTTTGCACACTCTATGCATTCTCTCAACCAGCTTCACCTGGAATTCTTTTCCAACAGTCTTGAAGGAGTTCCCATATATGCTGAGCACTTGTTGGCTGCTTTTCCTTCACTCTGCGGTCCGACTCATCCCAAACCATCTCAATTTGGTTGTGGTCGGGGGATTGTGGAGGCCAGGTAATCTGCAGCACTCAATCACTCTCCTTCTTGGTAAAATAGCCCTTACACAGCCTGGAGGTGTGTTTTGTCATTGTCCTGTTGAAAAACAAATGATAGTGGGACTAAGCCCAAATCAGATGGGATGGCGTATCGCTGCAAAATGTTGGTTTAGTGTGCCTTGAATTCTAAATAAATCTCAGACAGTATCACCAGGAAAGCACCCCCACACCATCACACCTCCTCCTCCATGCTTCATGGTGGGAACCACACATGCCAAGATTATCCGTTCACCTACTCTGTGTCTCACAAAGACACGGCAGTTGGAACCAAAAATCTCCAATTTGGACTCCAGACCAAAGGACAAATTTCCATCGGTCTATTGTCCATTGCGCTTGTTTCTTGGCCTAAGCAAGTCTCTTCTTCTTATTGGTGTCCTTTAGTAGTGGTTCCTTTGCAGCAATTCGACCATGAAGGCCTGATTCACAGTCTCCTCTGAACAGTTGATGTTGAGATGTGTCTGTTACTTGAACTCTGTGAAGCAGTTATTTGGGCTGCAATTTCTGAGGCTGGTAACTCTAATGAACTTATCCTCTGCAGCAGAGGTAACTCTGGGTCTTCCATACCAAATCAAATCAAATTTTATTTGCTACATGCGCCGAATACAACAGGTGTAGACATTACAGTGAAATGCTTACTTACAAGCCCTTAACCAACAATGCAGTTTAAGAAAAAAATACAAAAAGCAAATAATTAAAGAGCAGCAGTAAAATAAAATAACAGTAGGGAGGTTATACAGGGGGTACCGGTACAGAGTCAATGTGCGGGGGCACCGGTTTAGTCTAGGTGGGTAAACGTACGGGGGGAAGTTAATGGCATGCATAAAAAAACGGTTAAAATAGTCCAATAGGTAATTTAGAGGTCTATGGCTGGGTTAAAAATAAACCTTTTGGTCCTACTTGGCGCTCCGGTAGTTGTGGGTGGCAGAGTAACGTCAGCTGGCTGATTCTTGATATTTTTAGGGCTTCTCTTTATAAATATGGCAACTTGCCCCATTATGTCGTAGCATCAAAGAGAGGGGATTGGACGCGAGTGCAGCTGTTAGAAAATTGTGAGGATTGAATGGGAAAGCTGTGTGGGGTTCAGAGTAGTTGCAGTGCTGAAAGAATATAACCTTCGTCGCCACTATGTGAGTCTTCATGCCGACAAATATGACAACTTTCAAGGACAGCGGAGATGAGAGAAGGTGAATGAACTGTTGGCGGGTCTGAAGAAACAGCAGTCTGTGTTTACTCACAGCCGAGACATCAGTGACGCTGCAGTGAAAGCTAGCTACCTCATTGCTAATGAAATCGCAGTGGCTTCAAAACCATTTAGTGAGGGTGAATTTGTAAAAAACATGCATGATGAAGGCAGCGGAGATTGTGTGCCCTGAAAAGCGGCAGGCTTTTGCAAATATCAGCCTGACAAGAAACACAGTTGCAGACAGGATTTCCGATCTTTCAGTGGATTTGGACAGCCAGTTGAAGCAAAAAGTAAAGTCATTTATTGCGTTTTCGGTTGCAATTGATGAAAGCACGGACATTACAGATGTTGCACAACTGGCCATTTTTTAATCCGCGGAGTTGATGACACATTGACCGTCACGAGGAGTTCGTGGAGTTGGTGCCGATGACAGATACAACGACAGCAGCTGATATTTTTACCGCACTCGTCGGCGCGCTGGACAGGGTCGGAGTGGACTGGTCCCGCGCTGTCAGCCTGGCTACAGCTGGTAAGCCCTCAATGATCGGGAAAAAAGCAGGCGTTGTGACAAAGTTCAGAGAGAAAGTGCAATCTGCAAATGGAGGACGTGATTTTTTGACTTTTCACTGTATTTTGCACCAGGAGGCTTTGTGTTGCAAGTCATTAAAGATGGATAACGTCATGAAGGTGGTCATCCAAACTGTTAATTTCATCAGATCCAGAAGCCTGAATCACCGTCAGTTTGACAGCCTTCTCAGAGAGAAAGACCACATCTATGGCCTGCCATACCACACTGAGGTAAGATGGTTAAGCCGAGGTGCTGTGCTGAGGCGTTTCTTTGATTTACGAGAAGAAATTGAACAGTTCATGGAAGAAAAGGGCAAACCAGTTTTAGAATTTCATTCCGCAGAATGGATGCCGGACCTTGCATTTACGGTGGATGTTACAGAGCACCTGAATAACTTGAACAAACAGCTGCAAGGGCGCAACAAAGTTGTCACGCAGTATTATGACAGCATACGTTCTTTCAAGTTGAAGGTGTCATTGTGGGAGACGCAACTTGCCGGTGGTGATGCAGCTCACTTCCCCTGTCTGAAAAATGTGTGCGCGACCCAACATGTGGCAGACATGAAGCGGTTCAAAGATAAAATAACAGGACTGTTACGGGAGTTTGAGCAACGCTTTCAGATTTATGTTTATATGTTTTTATGTTGATGTGCTATTGTTTTTAATTGATTTTATTTTATTTGTATATTTAACCTATTCTTGACTCTGTGGTTCTTGCACTTGTTTGGGGAACAGGATTTCATTCTTTTTATCTACATTTCTGCCTGAGAAATGACACCCTGATATAGTTCTGTGATCTGTGATATACTTCTGTGAATCACTGAGGCATTGTGTGTTTGTGTGTTCTTTGTCCTCAGAACTTTCAAATAACTTGAGGTGTTTTATGATTAATAGTGATGTTGTGCTTTTGGACACTGTCCTCAGGCTCCAGCTTTATGTTTATATGTTTTTATGTTGATGTGCTATTGTTTTTAATTGATTTTATTTTATTTGTATATTTAACCTATTCTTGACTCTGTGGTTCTTGCACTTGTTTGGGGAACAGGATTTCATTATTTTTATCTACATTTCTGCCTGAGAAATGACACCCTGATATAGTTATGTGATCTGTGAAACAGTTCTGTTAATCACTGAGGCATTGTGTGTTTGTGTGTTCTTTTTCTTTAGAATTTTCAAATAAACTTGACGTGTTTTATGATTAATAGTGATGTTGTGCTTGTACTATTTTGGACACACTGTCCTCAGGCTCCAGCTTTATGTTGTATGTTGATTGTATTAAAACAAAGAAAACAATCTGAAGTTGTTGTTTTTAAGTTATATATACCATGATTTTTCCGGTCCGGCTTAGGTAATTGAGGTAATATGTACATGTGGGTAGAGTTAAGTGACTATGCATAAAAAATAAACAGAGTAGCAGCAGCGTAAAAGAGGGGGTTGGGGTGGGGTGGGGGGGCAATGCAAATAGTCCGGGTAGCCATGATTAGCTGTTCAGGTGTTTATGGCTTGGGGGTAGAAGCTGTTAAGAAGCCTTTTGGACCTAGACTTGGCGCTCCGGTACCGCTTGCCGTGCGGTGGCAGAGAGAACAGTCTATTACCAGGCTGGCTGGAGTCTTTGATAATTTTTAGGGCCTTCCTCTGACACCGCCTGGTATAGAGGTCCTGGATGGCAGGAAGCTTGGCCCCAGTGATGTACTGGGCCGTATGCACTACCCTCTGTAGTGCCTTGCGGTCGGAGGCCGAGAGCAGTTGCCATACCAGGCGATGATGCAACCAGTCAGGATGCTCTCGATGGTGCAGCTGTAGAACTTTTGAGGATCTGAGGACCCATGCCAAATCTCTGTGGTGGTCCTCATGAGAGCCAGTTTCATCATAGCGCTTGATGGTTTTTGCGACTGCACTTGAAGAAACGTTCAAAGTTCCGGATTGACTGACCTTCATGTCTTAAAGTAATGATGGACTGTCGTTTCTCTTTGCTTATTTGAGCTGTTCTTGCCATAATACGGACTTGGTCTTTTACCAAATAGGGGTATTTTCTGTATACCCCCCTACATTGTCATAATACAACTGATTGGCTCAAACGCATTAAAGCTGTCATCAAGGCAAAGAGTGGCTATTTGAAGAATTTCAAATATATT